GAATTGACCAGCAACTGTGTTCCTAGATCTACATCTCGCACTGCGAGGGAAGGGGCGGGCGGCCTGCTGGGCACCAGCACCACGAGGCTGCTGCAGGGCCCGCGGGCGGCAGCGCTGGACGGACACCCGGCTTCGGGCCCGTCCAGGAAGCCAGGGCACGCCTGCGCAGGCTGGAACAATCCCGAGACATATTCAAAGCACTGAAATAATAAAATAAATAAATAAATAAACACATGCTGCTGACTACAGTATTTGATCACTGTTTTCCTGAACAGATGCTTGGTTATTTTTGTTAGTGATTCTGATGTCTGGCAGCAGAAGAATGCTAAGAAAGTATCAAAGCTATGAAGGAAAGAGCCAACTTCCAAGTTGCCAAGGAGTGATGGCAGAACTTGCAGGCGGGTTGGAGCTGAAAGCAGCGGCCAACTGCTCGCATTAGGTATTACTGCCAGCACATAGGGAACAGCTTCCTTCAAGTTGGGCCCTTTGTAACTGCATCTCCAAGGTTTTTCACAAAGGGTCCTGCTACAAAACTAGCAAGTCTTGGGAGAAATTCAGTGTTCCTCAGTTCATCAGGGGCCTTTTATCCCAGGGGCCTGAGGGGTGTGAAAGAACTGAGGGATATTTTTAGGACTTCAAGTCAAAACTCACGTGATTCCCTCCAAGCTACCTCATAGTTTGTCTCCTTTAGCCCATGGCACTTTTCAAACCCCCGCTACAGCCGGAGTCCAGCAGCAGAGAGAAAAGCCAGGGAGAGGCAGCGCTTCACCACAGCGAGGGGACAGGGAAGACGCGAGCTCAGTGAGGGCGGCCGCAGCACCGCAGCGGCCAGTGCTCCCGCATCCCACTGCCTCGTCCCGGCGGACGGCCCAAATCCCTGCGGCCTTGTCCTCTGCAGTAAATATAGAAGGAGGGTGAATGCAGCTAATGCGTTCGTAGCTCTTCAGCATCCACCCCCTTTCCTGCAAATTTCTACAATGCTTTGGCCCAAAAAAAACCCATGCATGTGCTAAAAACAAGGGTACTGTAAAAACAGGGAGTCTAAGTAGGAGGAACAGGAAGGAACAGCTGAACACTTTGCCTTTCAAATGCTCACCCATCTCTCATAAGCCATGACTAGGATTCAGTCAATGGCTCATTGGAAGGACAAGATTTGGGTGTGCAGGAGATGCTCACTCAGCACTTTTAAACTTACACGTCCATCCCAATGATTCTGCAATGCCTCAGCTTCTGTTTTTAAGGCAACTTCAGCAATGTTCCTCTCCTTTCCCACCACATATATTTCAGCGTGTATATGTATACAAAAACCTGACCAAGCAGGTGTATCTAACATGCATGTATCTAACTGACCACCTTGACCTGAAGTGGAAACCTGGCGCTAGGAGCACAAGCCCTCAGCTCACCAAGGTGACCACAGCTCGGCAGCCATGTTATCCGCAGAATCACCGACTCACAGAACGGCTGAGGTTGGAAGGGACCTCCAGAGATCATCTGGTCCAACTCCCCTGCTCAAGCAGGGTCACCCACAGCCACAGGGTGGCATCCAGGGGGGTTTTGAAGATCTCCGCAACTTCTCTGGACAGCCTGTTCCAGGGCCCTGTCACCCTCACAGTAAAGTTCTTCCTCACATGGAGGTGGAACTTCCTGTGTCTCAGCTTGCACCTGTTACCCCTTGTCCTATCACTGGCCACCACAGAGAAGAGCCTGGCCCCATCCTCCCTACATTCACCCCTCAACTACTTGTACGTGTTGATCAGATCCGCTCTCAGCCTTCTCTTCTCCAGTCTAAACAGGCCCAGCTCGCTTAGCCTTTCCTCACACGATAGATGCTTCAGTTCCTTAATCATCTTCGTTGCTCTACACTGAACCCTCTCTAGAAGCTCCACGTCCCTCTTGTACTGGGGAGCCCAGACCTGCATCCAGTACTCCAGGCACGGCCTCACCAGAGCTGAGCAGAGGGGCAGGATCCCCTCCCTCAAGATCCATAAGGTCTCTGTAACCCAGCCATGAGCAGCAGACACCTAACATGGGAAAGCATGGGCAGCTACTGAAATAACTTCTCCGTGACAAGTAATTCCAGGCTACATTTCTTTTAGTTTCTCAATTAAAAGGAGAAAAAAAAAAGATGACACACGTAGACTGTTCAGCTTCATTTTTTATTCAAACAAATGGACTTTGAAGGAGGAGGAACACAACCTCTAATGCTTTGCACAGCAGATTAGTTTTATATGTAACTATAAACAGCCACATGTCTAGTCTGTAAAAAGCAATCTGTGCAGACCAACTCAGGCACAGTATCTCCGAAATAAGTGCATTGCCCACAATGAAGCATTGAGCTATTCCTAGCAGGTACTTGCTTCACAAATGCCCGAGGAAAGAAGCAATGTTTTGCTATTACCCTTTCCTCGCAGCAAAGGAGGCAGGAAGGTGCTTTGGGGCAGCAAAAAGGGCACTGCTGCAGAGCCCTCTCATGTGGGGACTGGGCCGTGTTCTGCCCCACTCTGGATTGAGCTCCAGGCCTCAAGCTGGGCCTGTTCTGTGGGGCCCCAACAAGGAAGACAAGGCAGGGCTGGGTTTTCTGTGAGTGACTAGAATTCCAAGCATGAGCTCAGGCACCACTATGATCGTTCCAGCTTTGGGAAGAGGAGCTCAGGCAGCGCTACGATTGCTCCAGCTTTGGGAAGAGGGTGTAACCAGGCCGTGTTTGCTGGTGAAGTTTTCGGCAAGGTTACACCGCTGAGATGAAGTCACTGAGCAGAAATGCTCAGAACTGGCAGCTTCTTGAACTGCTAAGCCAGCAACAGCCCGCAGGCGGCGCTCCCCTGAACGCAAAGAAACATTTTCCTAGTTTCAGTTTAGTCAGAAAACTGCACTCTGTGCGTACCGTTTGCTCGTATTTGAACTAATTGGAAGATTTTTTAAAAAAATACTTCCACTTTTGTATAAAAATTACCATGAGATGATAAGATCTGCTAGTTCTAAATTCCTCCAAGATCAGAATCTACCAGAAATAATCAATGATACTTTGTTTCATTAGCAAGTTTAATCAAAACATATTTTAGTCAATTTTTTTCCAGACTGCTTAAGATATCACCAGTCAACTAATTAAAAGAATCCTAAACAACCCCTTTTTGCAAGCTATTTGAGTTCCAATTTCCCTCTGAAAAGAACTTGCTGCAAAGCACAGCGGCTATCTAATAAAAAGAGGTAGGCAACATTTACTGCTTTCCAATGTGTGCCACACAGCAGTGAAAACATGAGGCGAGGCAATGACTTTAATCCATACTTACGGATGTAAAGCAGCCAGCCGGCCCTTTGGATCCTGCGAGCTGCCGAGCGGAATCCCCGTGCGGTCGAGCGGTGCGAACCTCGCACATCCCCAGGGGACACAGAGGGCCACCACAGGAAGCACTCCCATTGCATGGAAATATGCTGGATTTTAGAGGGCGTGCGCAGCTAGGAATGACAAGGAATGAGAATACTGCACTGCTGCTTAAACATAAGCCAACAAACCTCAAGGATGTGCTGCAGCAACAGGGAGATGGAAGCAGCGAACGGCTAGCTCCCTGTTTATCTGTATCTGGAGCTGGGGAAAAGTCAGGAGCGGTATCACCATTAATGAGGCTGCAGACTGCCAGGCAGCAGCAGATCTCTTGCCCCAAAGAGCGAAATCTCAGACTGGCAGAGCTTGGCAGAACAGAGCACTGGTACTCTCAGAGAAGGGAAGAAAGAAAAAAATCAGATCACTCATAACTTTACATCATGTATATTTCATAATTGCATGTTAAAATATGTACCCACATCATAAAACACTTTAAAAAAACCAAGTATTCTTAAACATATGTACAATGATGCAAAAATATGCCTAAATACATATCTAATGCAAAAAATAAACCCTTTAATAAAAATCTCCCTTCAAATGTCCCCTTGCTCTTCAACACCTTACAAAAATAAAAAAAAAATAATAATAAAAAAAGAGAGCTCAGTAAACAAACAGGAGTTAAAGAACAGACAAACAAAAGCTGCGTAAAGCAGATGTTTAGGCAACCCATTCGGCTTTGCCTTCTCCCGAAATACTCTAGAACTAGCAGGTCACTTGGCCTTTGCTACTTGAGTTCTGGGTTTAAAAAGTCAGCCCTGTGTACCAGCTGCAAGAGGTGGCACTCATTTTCTGTGGGATCAAGAAAGTTAATGATAATCCACCCGAGCGTTCTTTAAACTCCATTAAATGGAGGTGATTTTCATACTCTGTGAATATGTCTTGTTTTCTCTCATCCAGTTCAATAAATATGAACTGAAGTCTACCTGAGCAACTGCAGTGGGGGAAGAGGCTTCTGTTTAACCATCTGTTGTTGACTTCCATCTTCTTTCTACTCTCTCTAGGAAACTGCAAAAAGGGCTACAACCTCAAACTACAGAAAGCCCTGTGTCTCATATTTGAGATACTGCAGTTTCACCAAAAATCTCTCCCCTAAGTATTTCTGAAGATCTGGGTCTCCATGTCTGAGTTAAAAGAGACTGCAGTTGCATGAGAGAAATGCTGCTCTGGTTCTTATTCAGAGGAGTTTAGGTGCCTGATGTGTGTATCTCATGCTGCTAGAGCAACAGCCCTCAAAGTGCACTTGGCCTGTGTGTGAAATGTAGTTCTTGTTTTCAGAAGCCACCTGAAGAGTTTTCAGTATTGTTCCTTAAATGGAAGGTGTGGGAGGAATTCAAGCTCCTTTAAAAGAACTGCTATAAGGCACTGGTGCTGCAAGGTTTGTGATGAACAAAGTTTTATGACTTCTCCTTTCCAACTGTTTAAAAGTATGTCCATCAAGCCAACCATAAATAGCAATAAAAAGACATTAGAAAAACCCCAAACTGGAGAAATCTACTTAGAGTTGTAACTTAATTTATGACAATCCCACTTCAATGCACACTGGAACTCCTGCATATTTTTCTTAAACTCACTGTTGGCTAATGCTCATGCTATATACAAAAATCCCCTGGACAAGTCACGATGTTTCCAAATATCTTCTACAAAGAAGAATTGTTGAGATGACTGCAAAGGCTACACATTAAACTTACAGATAAGGGACAGGAACATATATTGGCTTACTCACTGTACATATCTATTTAAAACTTTAAAGAATAAGAATATTCACAAATATACACTTAATACACCAAGTAAAACTGCCTTCAGCATTTGATATTTTGGAGGATGATGCATTTCTTCCATTAAAATTCCACTCATGAAACTATCCCTGTGTCAGCTCGTCTTCATAAGCAACAGGATCACTGCAAAGTAAAATAGTTCTTCGTGTCTATGCAACAGAACCAGCAAAAGCTCAGCCTCTAGTCATCACTGTCACTTCCAGACTCACTCAACTGCAAGTCATTTCCTACGGAAAACAAAAACAACAAAACACAACAAGGGAGTAGAAGTTAATTCACATTTCAGTGCAATGAAACCAAAGAGCAGTTGCATTCAATCAGGACCGCTGAAATCAGAGCAACACAAGAACCAAATGCAAACATCACTTCAGCCACTTAATGGAACTGCTCTTCATGCCCACGAACACCGCAGGCTGCCCAGGGCTGCTCTGCGGCCTCGTCCAGGCCAGATGGAGGCTCCTGGGCTCTCCTGGTGGGACAGCAGCCGCCGTGCATGGAGCTCCAACCAGCCCTGCTCCTGCGCCTGGCTCTAGGGAATTCCCTGGCTTCACCAGCCCTATTAAAATAGGCTTTTTTTTTGTTGTTTCAGGGCAGTTTGAATAGTCAATGGAGGGTAGTGTAGAAAGAACGCTACAGTAACTGCAACTCAAGGTTACAGGCTGAGCTAGGGTGATGCAGAGCATGACCTGGAAGGAAGGCCAAGCCCCTCCATCAAACACACACAGCGATCAGACACGAGAAGGCCGAGATCTGGACCGAACCTGCGGTGTCTGATCTCCATCGTGCAGAGCTCTTTGGATCTGGGGGAGGTTAGGAGGGCAAAAATAACACTCTTGTTCTGGTAGCTGAACTCAGGTCTCAAGAGCATTCCCTCATGATCATCCCCAAGCCTGTGTTCCCCCCAGAGCAGCTACGCAATCAGTCACAACTGATCTGCTGGAAAAAAAAAAGTTAAAAAACCCCAAAAAACTCAGCTTGGGGGTGAGGGACACTTCTCCCCATGTGTGGGCACCAGAGACATATATGCTCAAGGACGTTAATTGGGGTGAGATTCACTCACTGCCTAAAAAAGAGGAGCAACCTTACCAGTTCCCAAATACAGGTTCACAAACCCTCCTGGGGTCAGAAGCTCCTCAAAATTCAGTGATTTAGGCAGTACCTGTAGTTACAGCCCAAGAGAAGCAGGGAAGAGGCATCTCAAAAAGGGAAGTTTGGAAGCTACTGTCTTAGTCAGAGCCTACCTCAAAAAACAACAAAAAAACAAATCAAAAAATCCCACAGTGGTAAGAATCCTACTGACTTTGTTGAGCACAGGATTTCTCCCAAGGCTCACGACAGGCCTTGAGTAGTGACAGGAACCCTGCCTGACCTCTTCAGTTTTACAATGAGTCTTTTCAGCACTGTCAATACAGTATCAGAACTTGCCTTATTTACACTGAAAATCCTACGTTTATTTGCATTTAAGCTTCACCCATTCCCTGCATGCGGAGAGCTGCACTCAAACATGCTTTAGGAGGAAGGAGGAATGCTTTGTAATAACTAAGTTCTAGTTTTGTGTTAATGCAGTATTTTAATTTCACTAAGACAGAAGAGACCTGACCTAGCGTAAAGCAAGAAAAGCAGAGACTACACTGCACCCCCACTACAGCCTCATGGGACAAAACAACTCTTCCAGAACGGTACTAGCACTTTTGAAACAACAGAGTTTAAAGTACTGACTCAATCCTGCCAAACATCACAGCTGTGGCATTTTAATCAAATATCTGGCATTTTAAACTTCACTTCAAAACGTGAAATTTGTGAAAATGCAGCTGAAACAAGCTTAGTTACTCTGACAAAACACTGCAGATAATAAATAGAGGGAAAATATTGTGCATTTCTGATTACACCACAGTTTTATGCCAATCACACTTGTTTACTGACTTTCAATCAACTGACTCGGTGTGACAACCCCACTATTCCCAATCTACGTTTCCACCTTAAGATAGTTCCTCCCTCCCATACACTGTGCCCCTGCCCTGACGCTTTGTGCTACCCACGTTCTCCATCTGGAGGCCCAAACCAAGGCTCAGCAAGGTCCATGGGGGCTGCTGCACTGCGGTCCACAGCCTCTGGACCAAACCTGAGTACTTCCCACACCTTACCACAGGCCTCAGCTTTCTGCCCTCAAGCCACATCCACGCCTGTGAACGTCCCTTGATAACTCTTTGGGAAATCCACCTCCATGTGAGGAAGAACTTCTTTACTGTGAGGGTGACAGAGCCCTGGAACAGGCTGCCCAGAGAGGTTGTGGAGTCTCCTTCTCTGGAGATCTTCCAAACCCACCTGGAGGCCACCCTGTGCCACGTGCTCTGGGTGTCCCTGCTGGAGCAGGGGGGTTGGACTAGACGATCTGTAGAGGTCCCTTCCAACCTCAACCACTCTGCGATTTTGTGAAACCGTTTGGCGCCGGCCACGCGGGCGCTCTCAGGCGGGCTGCCCCGGCAGGAGGGCGCAGGCTGCACTCACGGAGGGTGTTCATGAGCTGGTTGCTTCCCTGGGGCCGGCCGGTGCCGTTGGCCACGGCGCTCCTGCTGTTGCACTGCGGCTGCGCCGGGGCCGCGCGCGCCGGCTCCTCGCCCTCGCTGCTGGAGCTCTCATCCTCGCTCCCCGAGGAGCTCTCTGAGCCCGACGAGCTGCTGCCGCTGCTGCTGCTCATCTGCTCGATAATCTCCACCTCCGCTCGCAGCTCTGAAACGAAAGGACGTTCATCTGCTTGAAACCGTGAGGGGACCCCATGGAATTCAGGAAAAGAATGTGAAAATGCACCATGATTTTATCAAGTACAATTTACCGCATCTAAGTATCTCACATAAGAAAGCGCCAAGATGGAACACCTCAAAATCCCAACAACTTTCTACCTAGGTGTTGCAGCTGAATTAAAAGAACCAAGAGCACAGTACAGTATCATAAAGCCTTAATTTCTTTTATTATTGCATTTGTACGTATATATATATATAGACACACATACTTTGCACTCTTGAAAACATTTCCTACTTCATTTTTTTTCACTCATATGATCTACATACAAAGCAAGTACATTTCCTGATACAGTTTTACATGCCAACAGGTAGCCTCCTTTTTTTTTTTTTTTTTTTTTTTTTTTAAACCCACTTTCACTCTGCTGCTGTCAGCTTTCAGAAAATAGCCAGAAAAAAAAATTCATGAGTTTTATTTTGTTCTGATTTAAACAACTGTTTTTTTTTTTTTTAATAATGGTTTGGGTGCATATAAAATGGATTTTACATCCTGCGAAAAGCAGGAACTACAGAATTATGAAGGTGGAGCAAAAAGAAGAGGCGAGGGTGGGTTAAGTAGAAGACAGAAGCAAATGAGATGAACAGCGGCCTGGTAGTAGAACAGCAGGTCTTTGCTCTCTGGGCCAGCTGTTCATTTATGCTCATTTGGGAACAGAAGCTGTTTTTCCTCAAGGACTTGTAATCCATTGAAATAGCACAAAAATAGTTTTATCTAGGCTTTTGAAAGCTTCTGATCTTTAAAATTTTTGCAGTTTTTTGGAGGGTTTTTTGATATGTCATGAAGTTACGTATCTGCAGTTACTGGAAAAGTAAAGATGGTGAAAGTCAGTGTTCATTCTTATAATATTTCATATTTCAGAATTATTAGGAATCTATTATACTTATAGTGCATAATTGCTTCAAGTTTATGGTAGTTTAACATGTTGACAAGAGTTTTATTGACATACTGATATATCTGAATTAGCTGTACGGAAGTAGGTTATAGAATTGATCTTTCATAGTAATCCATGTTAAAACACACTAAAATCTGTTCTGACTTGGTGCGCTGTTTCCCCGTATGTGCTACAGGATATCACAGCTGATAGTCACATGCTTAGGCAGGTAGATCAGACAAGCATAAACCGAGAGTGTTGCTTGAAAGGAATTCACCCCAAATCAGACGTGGGAGATAAAGGGAGGTAAACCCCAACTCTTCAGCTGTGTGCACCTTTCTGGCGCATGGCACAGCCAGATCGTGGAAAATGAACCTTTCCTTTACGGAAAAAATGGCACCAATTTTAGTGCTTCTTATCTTGACCTCCTCCAGAAGTAAGGTCGAGCAAGTGGAACTCTTTTTAATAAGAGCTATTTGCCCTAGGCTGCTTAACGCTTTGAAGCGACCAGCTTCACCGTTTCCTGAAGAGAGCTCCTCTCAAAGCATGCACTGATTTGAGAAAGTTTCCTTCTGCCAGCTTTAAAACTGCTGCTTTTCAATTTCAAAGTTCATAACTCAATTTCCATGTTACAGTTACATTTGATTAGAGGCAAGATAGACACAGAACAGAGGGGAACAACCGCAGGGTTAACTCCAGCCTGGCTGTCTAAGGATAGCGGGGCTCCTGCAACTTAATTCCTGAAGCTCCATCTCCAAAACCACCTGTGTTATCTAGACTTGATTTTTATGCCATAGTAAAGAATAAACACACCTTTTCATCTTTAAGAAATAATTAAAAAAAGAAAAAAAAAGCCAGAAGAATGTATGATTAGTCCAAAAGAACATTCTCTGTTACTGGGAAAGATCCTTTCTCCCTCATTCCTCTCCCAACACAGGCTTTAAAATTCTATGCCATGCCTGGAGGCTGAAATACAGATAAATGGGCACTTGCAAGTCACTATCTGTCTGTGATAGCCTGCCCCTATCTAGGATTTCAAATTGTAAATGCACTCTGTGTCCAAGACTAAGAAATCATAGGTAAAATATAAAAGAAAGGTAAACATGAATCACCGTTCTATCCCTTTAAAATGCCTATATATTTTCCCTGTCTTAATGATGTAAAAATTCCACCTACTTCCAATGACCATTAGGGTTGCTAATTATAGTGTGTTGTTAAAATATCCTGGATTGTAGCAAGCACAATCCCCTACAGACCCCAGCCCATATGGTGAAAAGATTCAATAAACAAACTACAGAACCACTAGCATCTGCGATCACCCACAGATGCTTACAGGGCTAGAAGGTGTAAGGCGGAAAAGAGAGTGTGTCTTGGCACCCAGGGTGAGAAGAACTTATCAGCCCAGAAAATGGCATCTAAATGGCACGAAGGCAAGAAAGAAAAAAGCATGATGGAGCAATCCAAGAGGCTCTGGTGGTGAAAGTGGAAAGACGCAACAAGAAATGCGATCCAAAGAATTAAAGGGAAAATGTCCAAACTAGAAGTCTGAACTTGGTAAAGCAGGTGAGGAGATAACCAAAGCAAGGAAGAAACATAGGACGGGAAAGGAAGATTAACCTATTAAATTTGAAATAGAATTCGAGATGAGAGGCAGACTGAAGAGTGTTTTCCAGGGAGGAAGCAGAAAGCTGCTAGAGTCTCTAGAAGAGTTTTGGTTACGAGGAGGGAAAGA